ACCCCAAACAAAGAAACACGTTCACTCTACGCCCTAATCCTCCACCCATCCCCCTTCCTACTAACCCTCCCAACACCCCCAAACCCTTCTCTAACAACAACCCACATCCCCGTCGAACAAATCACATCCTTAATCTCCTCCGCCGTCAACGAAAGCCCTTGCAATCTCTCAGTCGCAGCTTGTATACTCCCCGGCCCCGCCGATCCCGGTGTAGGATTAGCAACATCTCGTTTACGCACTTGCATCCTCTCCACTTCAAGGTCGGGAAGGGGCCAGGGGACTTTGAGCATTGCTACGACTTTGGGGTGATGTGGTGTTGGAGAGAGTGTGCCTACTTTGATTTTGAGTGGGCCGCTGCTCGTGTCTTCTCCGACTCCTTGTTGTGCTCCGGGTTTTTGACCCTTGATTTTTGAAGCAGAAGGTGTCGGAGGTGCTGCGCCGAGTCGGCGAACTTTGAGTGTGCATACCCAAGGTGTCTCCGAGTCTTCTGGGTCGGATTCGTCTCCATCGTCGTCCTCCCTACCGGCTCCACCTCCACCAAGAGAGTTGAGAGAGGCGCGGAGACTTTGTCTCGATCTCGCCCTTTTACCTCTCTTACTACCCGTATTAACTTCTCCGTCGTGCAGGTCCTCGCTAGCAGAAACCGACGCCCCACTTAGTGCAGAAAGTCTGTTTAGAGACTTTCTCCTCCCGTTCTCGTCTGCCTCCTCTGCATTCAGACCATTACCATTAGTCTGCCCCAAAGAAGTCCTAGACGTATTCTCCGGCGCACGAGAAGCAGACCTCGAAGGATTCCTAGAATTCGTCGTCGAATCGCCTTCCTTCTCCTTCCTCTTATCCTTCTTCGCTTTCGGCTTCTTTCCCCGCTTCCACTCGACTCTAACCTCCAACTTTCCCGTAACCCCTCCATTCTGTCCAGGAGCAGCATCTCCAATACTCCTCCTCGGCTCTCCTTCAGCAGCACTTCCAATCCCGCTAAGCACCTCTCTGAGGCCCCCACTCAACCCGAAAAGGCCACCATTACCCCCCTTCATCCATTTCCTAACGACCCAGACGTACAACGCCGGGCCTTTTCCAAAGCCGAGGTGTTTTGGTGGAGGATAACCCGCTGAATTGAACGATGGGGCAGCTCCAGAGGTGAAGAATAGAGAGGATAAAGCGAGCGGACCGCCTGGTGTAGAAAGAGTAGGTTGGATACCTAGTGTTGCGGGGAGTAACAGCTGCTGTTGAGGATTTTGCGACGAAGAAGAAGCACCATTATTCGTAGACTCGTGCGCTGAATGATGCGAATGTCTCGACGACGTTGATAGTCTCGATGACGTAGTACCTGGGTTCGGGTTGAGCGTGTCCCCATACCCATTACCCTCCTCCTTATCACCTCCACTCCTTGAAAATGCCGACCTTTTCGGCGTCGTCAGCCCCCCACTTGCTCCAGTACTCGTGCTAGGCCTCACATCCTTTGCAGGCGAAGGTGATCGTCTAAACGCGTTGTTGATCGTGTTGGAGAGGTTTCTCGCGTGTCCTCGAGGAGCGAACCCGGGTGACGTAGGAGCAGGTGGTAAACCTTCAGGTATTGGAGAGGGGACGGTGCCGATAGCTGCTTTAGATGGAAGTGCTACCGATAGATCTACTGCGCCGCCTGGAGGTAAGAGACTCGGAGAGGCTTCTTTTCGTTTAGAGAAAAGTTTGCCGAATATATTGGTGTTCTTTTTAGCTGCGGGGGTTGGGGTAGTTGTAGGCGTAGGCATAGCTATAGGATGATGATGCGACGGTGGTACATGACCCAGTTCAGAATCGTGTACGTTGAAAGAAGGAAGTGAGACCGCAGACGAAGCAGGTGTATGTTCTGGTGTCGCAGAACCTGATTGAGTGGGATGGAGAGCCGAGTTGGATGGTTGGTGTCGGATTCCTGCTTGCTGTTGGATGTGGGGTCTGTTTGGCGTCGGCCAGACCTCTATAGGCTCGAGCAATGCCAAATCAATCATCTCGAGACCCCTCTTTGTAAACTTGGCGATCTTGGCGTCTGTCCCTGCATCGACAATCGTATTCGTCATGACGTTGTGTGCCTGCAGGTTATACAAGGGTATGATCATCCTCCGCCCAGAGCTGACAGAGTTTACAGAGGAAAAGGATGTGGTTGAAGCAGAGGCATAGCCTGATGAAGAAGCTGTAGAGTTATAGCCAGAGGTAGAGTAGGACGAGGCCTCTGATTGAGCAGAGGTTGTTCTGCTTAGGTCTGCACCTGAAGTTGTACTGGCAGCGTCATCGTCAATGGACTGGCGTGGTGTGATTCCACCTGGAGCGCGTGAGTGTGGTGGAACCAGTTGAACTTGGAGGTTGAGCGGATGGTTCGTTTTTGCGGGTGGTGGGCGGACAAAAATGAATGTCTATGATTCTTTAGAAAAAGACTAGAAAAAAAGAACGTTGTAGTACCTCGTTAGCACTCTTTTCTTTCTTGTCCTTCTTCTTCTTTCCTTCTACTTGTTCGTCGGTCTTTCCCTGGACGTCGTCTTCGTCGTCGTCGTCATCTATCTCTGGTTGGTTCTCTGGTGGTTGTGGGGACGAGGGGTGCAGGGCAGAAGGGAGGAAGGAGGTGAAGGAGGAGAACATGGCATCAAGTCGAATGACAAGAGTGGAAACACCAACTCTTTATCATGTTTTCGCGTCATCGCTCTCCGGCTCCCGGCCGGCCTTTCTCCGGTCTCCGAGTACCTCGCTCGTTTTTCCACTACCACTACTAGACACACTGCTGTACCGAGCTAGACTCGATTCCACTGCCTCGCTACTTGCTCGAGACCTCCTCGATATCCCATGGTACAAGCCTTCAACTTGTACTGCTCACACTACCTTCCGTCGGAACTTCACATGCACACAACCAAGTCGTAGTACACGGTTGTACGGTTGTTCCTATTCTACCGGACACCCCTAGATCTTTCCTTGTTCGTCTTTACAAAATCGAAATCCGTCAACGGGCAGAGACGCACAAAGACGGGCGGGTTTCGGCTATATTAGTACGGGAGGAGGCGTCAGCCAAAGCTAGCACTTCCGAATTCCTATTCCCATCCCTTGACACGCTCACGACGAATTTGTTTTCCGTTTCCCATCGTGCATCCAAACTCAAGGTTGATATCGAATCTACACCGGAAGATTCCTACATCTTCCGAAGTGTTATATGTTGACCTACGGAAGTCTCCAGCTTTTGATCACTATCGCTTCTTTTCCCTACGGCTCGAGTGATTGATTCAAATGATCTTCGTTGACAATTCCCATAAATTTGACGGATTTCTGATCCAGAGCAACTGTGTAGATCCTTGTTCACTTCAAAAGCACACGATCTTCAAACAGAGTTCTGCGCATACTACGCGCGCGCCGCGACGACGACGCTGCGCCGTGCCACGGTGTCAAGCTGCGTATGCCATTGTCAAGGCTTACCCTTTAAGCAAAACTGCGGTGGTGCACCGTCCCCCAAACTCAAGTCGCAAATCGTACGACTTTCTTTCAAGCGCCAAAAGACTTCAAGACTACAATTGCGGCATCTGTCGCAGGTCGTACGACTATTTTTTTTTTCTTTCTCGCTTTATACTACATAAAGCACCGACACCGACCGACACCTCCGAACTATCGCACTAAAGCACGTCTCATCCCGCCCCGTTATCCCCGCTATCCCCGTCTGACATCCCGAGTCCGCGCCGACCAAGCACCGTCATGATCCCCGTTGCCCTGTTTCCTCAAGTGGCAAGTGGCATGGGCCGCTTATGACGTATGCTCACTGTCAATTCTCCCGAGTCCCGTTGAAAGGTATTCTATTCTTGTGGCCGTTTAGGCATACCTTTGTGGGGAGAAAGGAATCATCAGCAGCATAGTACTTACACGGTGTAGACTTGATATAGACGTCATCCATTCGTCGTCGTCTTCTTCTACGCAATCAAGTCGTGTCCCCTATCACTGACCAACTCTCCATGCTTTCTGGAAATGCGTCGTTCACAATCGATGTATCCTACGTACCCTAGTGCGTATAATCGATCTATGCACTGTTCCACTGCGCGCGGTATAGTAAGTACACCATTGTACACGTCGCGATCAACAACCGCTATGCACTAGTACCCGCTGAATCCGGACCCGGACCAATCATGACATTCATTCATCCATTCACTCTGCAGTCTGCTGGCACTCTCTCGAGTTCTCGACGTGTGGATCCGAGTCGTACATATCTGCATCAAGCATCAAGGAGGACCAAAAAGCAATTCAAACCCCAGAACTCGGAGAGCCGGACTCGTGAATTCAAAGCTAAAACTCGAACGATATACGTATTTGATACAGCTTGGCCGCTCGAGCTCCTACTTCTACCCCTGGCTCGTCCTTGTTCCTACACGTTCATATACCCGCTCTACATGGATCTAGAAGCAAGAAGGACAGTGAATTCAAGGTCGAGGTTCTTCCGAGTCGGGATTCGGGTTTGTGGCTTGACTTTTTTTGACACTTTCTTCTTCAGTAGGTTCTTGGTTTTTGATTTAACACTACTACTTACTCGCCGTTGGTTTTACAATGGTTTTGATAGTTATAGAGTATCAAGGGGTAAGTGGCGGATGGTGCGGGTGATTCATAAGGATTAATTATTAATTATTGTTTGATTACTCTGGGGGTTTTTACTCATTCAATAGGTGCTAGTGCCCTTTGCTGTAGTCTTGTGTATAGTCTAGACTTCAAGTACACTAACTCATGATTGACGGGCGTGCTTATGCATAAGCATACTTTTGAGCTCCGAGTCGGATTGTTGAGTAATAGATAAACTGTAGGGTGTACTAAAATTAAGTTGAGCTAAGAACCTACTTCATAGTATGGTTTATACGAGTGGCACAGTTGGGAAATTCTAAGTAAGATACGCATATACGTCAGAGATATGATAAGCCACATAATCGTACATTGGCGAAAAGCTATCAGTAGATAGTAAAAGTAAACACCCAATAAACTCGGATTAAAATTATGTATACATTCCTCGATGCCTCGTACCCGGATTGAACGAGTGACCTTTCCATTGTAACTCGCTTCATATCCATACAAGTGGAACGCGCTACCACTACGCCAACGAGGCCCATTATTCCCATAAACGGAAGGCCTGGTTGGAAATAAGTCAATCCTTAACAGCGAGTAATTTGTCAAAAAGATATCAAGTGAATATGCCTCGTACTCGGGTTGGACGAGTGACCTTTCCATTGTGTTATATTCCAGGCTATTCATCCTACAAGTGGAACGCGCTACCACTACGCCAACGAGGCTGCAGTATCCTTGCGTTGACAGAGAGGTTGAAGGAGAAGAGAAACTTGCTTAGGTTAAAAGAAATCTTTTTATGTGAAATAAAAGGAGGGGGGTAAAATGAAGATGGATTCTATAATCAAATTTAATTTCTTACTACCCAAATCAATTACTTACAGTAAATATTCAGGTGAAAGTATCCCTCCCTCATTAAACCCCCAGCCTGATTGTTCAAATTTCTGACATATACCATTATTTAATTTATGATACAAGTACCCAAAGTCTTGAAGCTCAGCAAATTCAAGTAAAGAAATCCGTATTATGCAATAGAAAAAATTAGAATACTTCCATGGTATACGCCTCATACCCGGATTAAAGCCTTGAGCTACCCTTTTTATTGTATCATCTTCCACGATACAACGGAAACGGTTTACCACTGTGCCAACGAGGCAATGCGTAGCTCAGTGAACATGTGGGGAAAATTGTTTACTTAATTTACTTTGACAGTTAATCTAAAAATGAAGGTAGGAGGGAATTGAATTTTGATGTAAAAATTAATAATTAAAGTTAATTTCTTGTATCACTTACAGTACGTCTTAGTTAAGAGTGCCCCTTATTGAACCTTCAGCAATTCAAATTTCTTTCATATATAAATTGCATAAATATCCAAAGCTCAGCAAAGTCAAGTAGATCGCAATGAGCTCATGAAAATTCATATCATGCACAAGAAAATAAACTGCATGTGCTCAGATCCATGCCTCATACCCCCAAATTGTACCAGTGACCTTTCCATTCAAAAATCGGTCTTCCGAGATTCAAGTGAGATGTGCTGCCACTAGGCAAGTTGCTCAGATATCACTGAATTACTACCGAAAGCTCGAGGCTTCCTTGTTGTATGGCCCCACTATGGCTATATATATTATAAGACCACTTCAATCACTTCCTGTTCAGGCACCTTAAACTATATTCTTCAATATTCGATTTATTTAGTTTCATGCGGAATAATCGGAGAAATATGATACTTTTCCTCAAACCTTTGTAAATGACAAGCAAAAAGTGCACAATCAATGGACCCTAAACCCAATCATTTTCCCATATAAACCCACAATATGCAGTGTGTATAACTTATACTCATCCTTTGTAATTGGTGGTTAATATATAATATCCAAAAATTTTGGGAAGGTGGAAGAATTAATAACAATGTAAATTTCAAAGAGAAATACTGAGGTGAATACATGCAGCTAAATTGATGTATATACCACAGATTAGAATTTCAAATGCAACGCTCTGAATAGAAGAATAAAGCCGGGAATTCTTTGAAATGGACTTGGATGCTGATTCGACCTTGCTTGATATTCCCTTGCCATTTGCCTACCTTAGTATCTTCATACGCCTCACTTCGGTTTTCCTTCAGAGCCGGTTTATACATATAAAACGATAGATAAATTGTCCAAGAAGTAAACCAAACAAAAACCTAAAAATCACAAGTACCCAATGATAGACTGACAGCAAGAACTGGTACGCGCAAGACAGTTAAACGTTAAACCTTCGATTCGACCGATCTCAATCCGTTTGGTTTCTGTTCAACTGAATGTCTTGGCGTGCATTTAGTACCGGTAAAATCCAGCACTGTCGGTGATAAAGTTGATGCTTCCATCGGGCTGAGTCTGTCCACCCTTGTTAGTAGCCGCCTCAGGACCGTGAATGCGCGAAAAGAGGGAGCAGGTAAGGAGGGGGCTTCCATTCTGAGAATGAGGAAATTGATAAGTTATCGGTCTTTGAATTGAACATAAAATAAAGACTTGCCTTTCCGTAGACATCATGATAAGCTAGATTTGCAGGTTAGTTTGATTGATGATGGAAAAAAAAAAATGCTTACTGTTGATGAACACACATCCTTGCACATGGCTGCACATAAGCTGGCAATCTGTTCAAGAAATCATCAATACAGGGTTGCTGGCATGCCATCAATACGTACCCTCAATGGTGTCAACCAATCCAAAAGTCAAATAATCGTCTGCTTCAACAGCACCATCGAGCCCACCGAACGTCTGAATCCATCCGCCACTAGGAGGAGGAGGACTGCCGTGGCTAGGAGGAGAAGGTGGTGGTGGAGAAGGAGGAGGAGGAGGAACACCGTGAGGGAACTGAGACGGCGGAGGAAGTGGCACTGGGTGGTATGCCGGGAAATTGAATCCGGGGCAATGAAAAATGAACGGAATAAGGTCGTAAAGTTTGCAAATGAACTATAAATATTGCGAAAAAAATCAACAAAAATAATCTTTTGGTGTAAGGTAATAATACTCACCACATCCTTCAAACAAGGGAATAGGAAGCCGAATCCAAAGTGCTTGGCCACATCGTAACGATCACCGTAGTACCAACCAGGGTGGTAGCCGACTCTCCAGGGAGGAATCGGTGCACCGTAATAGTTGGACCCGATGAGGTGAGGTTCGAAAAGATGGGCGTCGGTCCTAACGTCAAGCGTGGTCACTCCAACGTTGGTAGTCTCGACCGCAGCAACAGCCGAAGCAGGTGCCGGGGAGGGCACGGCGGAAACACCGGTAGTGCCGACGACGGCGAGAACAAAAGCGGCGATGGCAGTGAAACGCATTGTGCTAGCGGCTAGATTGAGCTCGAATTCGAGTGTTCGAATGACCAGTGGATGGATGAGGGCACGGAGCAGATGGAACCAAGTGCTGGTGCTGAAGAAATCGGTTCATTCTCTCCAGTTTTTATACATGCATTGAAGAGGAGTCGATTTACCGGCAAGTACCAAGCAAGCATAATGTCGGAAGAACCGTCCACAGAAAGCGTTGCTTCAACTTTGGCATCAACAATCTTTGACAGGCGAATGATTGGGATTTCCGTCTCCTATCTCTCGAATACAAAACAATACTGCCCCTGCATGCATTGCAATGAATCCCACCAACTCGACTCGGGTTTATACTAAGTATTACGATAGATACCAGAAGAACGTACCTGAAAATCCTGTAATTTATCGGCGGTCTCCCCCAATAAGGTCACAAGCCTGCAATGCAGGATCAATGAACGTAAAAAACAGTCGCTGTCAGCTATATCTTTAACTCGGATTTCGAGGTGTAGATTTTTTAAATTTCAGTCGAGTCCTGCTCTGTACATTTTGACTCCGATTCTGCTGAGCCAGTTGCTGATTTTTTTTACATTTCACTATGCTAAGACAGTATCTCCTTGAAGTCTTCATGTCCGCTTCGTGTGGTTGTGAAAAATCGAAGTTCACGTCGCCATTCAGGCTGTCTCCTAAGTTCTCCATAGGAACTTCGTTAGAACCGACTACCTGATCATTCCATTATTCCAAAAGTCGAACTCCGTCTACTCGGATACTCGTCCAGATCCGACAATGTAAGAATGCTAAGAGTAACTCGAAACCCCTATGAATCAAAGGAAGTATCAACCAGTGGCTGACAACGCTGTCAGTTTACATTCGTGCCTGTCGGTCTAGCTGCTTCCTTTGTTAATTATCAGGACCGAACTTGAGTTTCATCACCGTGTTGTTGTTCATAGACAAACCCGACGTGGTATTAGTGGTATGCATCACTATATTCCTCAAAGTACTATTAGTACTTACATCAAACAGCACTGAACTACTAGAACATAATCACTAATAATCAGAACTAAGAGTGCATAGATAGAATGGAGGATGTAGTTTAGAACAGATTACAGACATATTACAAGTCCAACATATTGATCAATTGAATATTGCGGGCTTGGAGAACCGCTCGTTCATCGTCGTATTCTTTGTACCTTCGCAATAAAGTCAAGTCTCAAAATCGAAAAGAGAGCGACTTGCATTCCAAAATGTATCTTCAACCAAGTTCTTTTGCGGGCACCCAAACGCAGGATGATTATCTTCTGCATTTTCGTCCTTGAAAGTAAACCTAACATCCATACCTTCGCTCCTGAGCTCATTGAGTATGCCCCCCAATTCACTCATCTGTTTGATCCGCCCAGGCAAATCAATCAACAATTTTTCCAACCCGCTGTTATTCTTTCGTCTCCTCGAATAAGCCAACTCCACCAGAGCTTCATCCCTAACAATTGGATCCGGTTCTGTTATTTTGATGTATAAGTTTTTTAAAGAAGGACAAAGTGATGGTTCATTTGGAGAAATGGTCAATTGAGAGATCATGCTCCGAGTGTCGTCATGAACACTCTGATAAGTCCACCCTTTTCGTAGATCGAGGTTTAATTCTACGAGATTGGGGCAGAGAGACAAACATCTTCGAAAACATGAAGGGCTAAGGCGCATCATCAAGTTGAGTCTTTGTACTTTGTGTCCTGGTTGAAGTAGGGACAAAAAGGGAATATCATTCATACACCCATTTCCTCGATAAGACCTGAAGCAGACACTCAGTGATTGAAGAGAAGGAGCTGAGATAGAGTTGAAAAATGGATGTCCCTGAATCTGCAAGTGCTCACTGTCACTCTGCGTCGAACGTATATAATCTATATCTTCAATTTTGACACTTAAATTCTGAAGATAAGGCAGAGAAATAGATTTCAACTCGGATGCCGCGGAATTGAACTGAAACGGGGGCAATGCACATGAACGCAGATTTGGACACTGTGAAAGAATACGAAGACAGAACAGGTCTTGCGTGTTCACATAGTAGGAGTCATGAATATATAGATGAGTTAAATTTGCGATAGGAAGATCCTCGTAATAGCAGATGTCTAGAAAAACCACGGTCTTCATACGCGGAGCTTCCAAAAACTTGGACAAAAAGGGGGTATGCTGGTGGTAGAACGCCTCGGCCGCATGTACTTCGAATGTCTCTAGAAATGGGATATCACTTGAATCCCATGTCAATCCCATGCATCTTTGAAAGATGTCCAGAGCCATATAACTGACACTCAGCTGGATCTTTCGCCAGCGCGTAAAAGCTCGAACTATGATCTCGAACATGGTAATGATATGTTTGGGGGGATCGTTACCTGACGACCAGTAAATGCCCAGGTCACCATTAGCAAGGTTGCAGTAGAG